CTAAAACTATTACAACTTTTTGAATCCAATTTTTGTGTTTCTTATTTTTTATACTCATCATATTGTTAGCAATTCAACTGAGTCAAGTCTCCTGTGCGCTTGGCTCGAGGAGAACTATTTATATGCGTTGCTGCCTATGAAGACGGTTCCAGATTACTTCTGAGGTCCCATTTCAGTTGGGATGCTGCCTTCGAAAGTATGCAGCAAGGCAGCTCACTAGGATTTGGAACAGAGTTGAGATGTTTTTGTGTTTTGGTCGGTAATGAGTATGTATTATAATGTTTGTCTTTCAATTATTAGACAGGACTGTACTCAGGCACAGGGTTCTCAGCACTGTCAAAACAGAAGTCCTTCTTCCGACACTTATTATTGTCTTATAAACAGAAAAACGTATCGCCTAGTGTTTCCCCTTATTTTAAATGATCAGCATTTGCATTTCTGCTGTTACAGAAGAAACAGCTTTTCCAAAAGACATTGAACGTGTTGTTTATAAATATACTTACATTTAATTTAATACCTAAAACTATTACAACTTTTTGAATCCAATTTTTGTGTTTCTTATTTTTTATACTCATCATATTGTTAGCAATTCAACTGAGTCAAGTCTCCTGTGCGCTTGGCTCGAGGAGAACTATTTATATGCGTTGCTGCCTATGAAGACGGTTCCAGATTACTTCTGAGGTCCCATTTCAGTTGGGATGCTGCCTTCGAAAGTATGCAGCAAGGCAGCTCACTAGGATTTGGAACAGAGTTGAGATGTTTTTGTGTTTTGGTCGGTAATGAGTTATGAGCTATTTGATGCATTGCGCCCTGTGAGTCTGTTCTAGAAACAAGGCTGGAGCGTGACAGACTTTGCAGCGCAGGTGTCCACTCAGATGTACAACGGGTGGAGCATGTATGCGCATGTGTGTGTGTGTGTGTGTGAATGTGTTTTCAAGCAAAAACGGCTTTGGGAGCACAGCAGGCAAAGAGGTGTGAGACATGTCTTTGTCAGAGAGAGGCACTAGTCATACCCTCTGGTATGTACAACGACTGCACCCCCTTCCTCTGGACTCGGCGCTGTAGTTATACCCCAGACGCACCGCTAATGTGGAGCTTTTCGTCCAAACTGACTCACACGGCTCTAATTATTAAGCATCCAAATGAGTCGCTACATCAGAGAAACTCCGTTCCAGCTTCACCAACTCATCCTTTTCCCCCTCCTCTCTCTCTCTCTCTCCCCCCATTTGTTTTCTTGCAGGTGATCAAAGACCTTTGGAACTTTTTACAAACACTAAAAAAGTAATGGCTGCTCTGCTCTCCCCTTCCCGTCCCGCTGCAGCAGAAGTCTGGGCTGAGCCAGTAACGGCACTTCAGCTGTGCGATCTGGCCTCTTCCCGTCTTAATCCGCCTGCTCTTCTCTCACTTTAAAGATGGATAGAGCAGAAGGAGCAATGGCAGAGATATCATGCTTCATGTTTTATATATGTTTTTTTTTTAATTATGGAAGTCCACAATGGTTTCTTAGAAGAACATTTAATGAGATGTTGTGCTAAGGCAGTTATAATTTAAAAAGCGAACTAAGGGTGAATCTCTCTAAATCTTATCAAGACCTTGCGCAGGTCATATTTCGTCTCAAAATTCTAAAGAAAGTATATTTTGCATTAAGTAAATGAAGCCTGTTTTGGACTGAACAAATGTTTTTCATTATGATTTTTTAAAAGACTTAAACCCATTTCCCCCAATTATCATAATGCACAAAAAAAAGTAATGTGAGTATTTATACATCATGGATTGATTTGTGTTATAGAGATTATAATTTATGGTGATTAAAACATATGGTAATCATGGTAATGAAAAAATATACAGTATAAAATAAGTTTAGTTGTATTAATCATTAAAAATGATGTGGGGAAAAAAGTTATATTAAAGCAACAATGTTAAAGGTCATTAAAATAGGCTTTGTTTTTTAATGCAAAATATAATTTCCTTTATTTTCTTTAGCTTTTTGGGTAAAATTTGATCCTGGGTGTTTTTGTGAGCATTACTCTTAAATAGAAAACCAATGGTGCTGGTTTATTATAATTTTATTAAATTTTTTTGTGAGGCCATTTAAAAAAAAGAAAAGAAACAACAACACTTGAACGTTATCTTGAGCGAAATAGTTTTTTCACTACCAGCCCAAGACCAATTTGCTTCTTGTGTATATTTGAAACCATAATCACTGTAAATCGCCCCCTTAATGTCTTCATATGAAGATGGCAGCTGAAGTGTAATAATGTTAAAGATTCAGTCACATTCTGAGTGTTCCGTCTGATTGAAGATTCCGTCTAGTTCACAGTATTCTGTGCAGCCCTCACGATTCTGCCTTGCAGCAATTCCAAAGGCCTTCACCGTTTAAACTTTACAATTATCTTAAGTGCTATAGACTCTCCCATAAAAATCCTCTTGAGAAGCACGGACAGAATATTATACCTTGTTAAAAAGATGAATGTTAGTCCATGGTTTACATCATTAAATATGATTAAAAAAAAGACGTTTAGTTGATTTGAAACTTTAAAATAATGCTTTCGCTATTTTATGTTTTTGTCATATCAGTTGTTTTTATTTTACTTTCACTAAGCCATTTTAATTTGTTAGCACTAATAGATAAAACCCTTAAATATATGTAGGTGTTTTTTGAAAGCAGAAGAATCAGTCCAGTTTTGTTCTGTGAAATTGGTGATTTTTCCCCCCACAAAAGTATATGCTGCAAACAAGCAGTGCATTTCAACAAAACTATATTGTTCCATTATGATCAACAAAATGTTGATGTCGATTTCATTGGGAGCAATTTAATTTTGTTGCATCATTCTGCTCGCTTGCAGTGTTAGATTGGTTTCCTTTCTTGGATGGAAATGGAAGTAATCCAGCTTTAGTTGATCTGGGAAATAAATACTGTATAACAACTTTTTGTCTGTGAATTATAACATTGTGAAGTTACCTATACTCCACCTTTGGATGAAGTAACCAAGTGCACAGATAAGGTGTTGTTGTGAATGCTAACATCAAAGGCCGGAGGCAAGATCATGTTCTTACCACATAATGTTTTCAGAACAAGACATCTGGCTAGACTAACACAAAAAAATTATATTGCGCACCTTTCTAACCTGAAAATGTTCCGTGCAATGCCTCATGCATATATATGTTGCATCACACAGTTGCGCCATGCAGTATCATTATTTTTGTGTCCAGCTATAATCATTTCATTTACAAATAACAGGTGTGAATTGATTGATTTAATGCTTTAATTGAGTATTACACCTACATGACCTCTGAACGTTAGACCATAGACTCAACAAAGACCATACAGAGCACAAATTCACTGTTTTGTTTGACCTCAACAATCATTTCTCCTGCACCTGAAAGTCTCCAACCTGTTTGCCCACCTGAGATGTTCACCTGATTTGCTTGTTTCAAGAAACAGAGTTTTCTGTTCTATCATTGTCTGAAACAGAAAGAATAAAAGTGTCAGCTGGAACATGCTGTTGCATTTTCTTTTTGCACTTGCTTCTTTTTTCCTCAGTGTTTGAAGCGATTTGTGGGAAAATGTATGTTGTTGATCATCATGCTTCCTAAACTCTGGAACCTGGTCCAGTTCATGGCGTCTCTGGAACGGGCTAAACAAACATATGCAGAACTTTCTGAATTTTACGTACCACTTGATTATTTTACAGCTCTCGTTTTTCAGATGCTTTTTGAGGAGAGTAAATTTTATAAGAGAAGAAAGTTACATTCATCAGCAGACTGTCTCAAATGAAGAGATCCATCACAAACTCTCCAAAAGCAAGGTACTTTTACTAGTTTTTTTTTTTAACTTGATTACTCGTATGATTCTTAATGTCTTTGTAGACGGTTTTGTTTGATCCTTCCTTCTAAATTCTGTCCTCAAGTTGCTTTGCTAGTTCAGTTTGGAAATTATTCTTCATGCATTCACCACATGGTGGCGATAATGGCTTATGATGACAGTGTATTTTGATTTATGGAACGTTCTTTCCTCTATACTGTAAGGGACAATTAATCAGCCTCTCACCTGGATGATGCCCCTTCATTATGCCTGCTGACACTTACCTACTTCCTGTTGTCAGAGTCTACAGCAGGAAGTGAGTTCAGCAGACAGGGTGTGTGTGAGGGGGAGCAAAACTTGAAGTATTACTGTGTGGAATTCCCCGTTTCCCAAGTGTGAGGAATTCCAGATCAGTGCACACTCCAGGCAGAATCAGGGATGAAGGAGAACGTACAGAAATTCCACCTGAAGCTATTCCAATCAGCGGTTGGTAGGAATTAAGAAATATTTTTTTCTGATTCAGCTGTCTGACTGAAGTGTCCAGTCATGACTGCGCAAACAACAGTGTCAGCAAGATCATGTTGGGAACAGAAATCATTTTGATCCCATTTAATAATGGGACAGATGCAGCTGTCCTGCTTGTTGCACGTTAGTGTTTAACTGCGCAAACGTCAGCTCTTTAAGTTCTCTGTGTTCACTAGAAGACGAAGGATTTATCAGACCCTTTTCCATGACCCCATGATCTTAGATTATTCTGGTTTTGTGCTTTTTAGGACATATATACTGTAAGAAACTGCCATTGAAGTGTAAATGTTTTCCTAGCTTTTTTCAAGTCAATCCTACTCTACTTTTTCAATATAGGCCTATCCAAGATTTCAAAAGCCCCTGAGATTATTTTTTTTAAGCTCAGTGGACTTTAAATGCAAGTTTCCTTAAAAATATTTGTATCTATGACCTTTCAGGTGCATGTTTATGAGTGGGTTTTCAGAAATCACCCCCAAATCCTCTTGTCATTTGAAACTCCTATGATTTCTTATTATAAAAAAAAGTCATAGCATATGTGTGATAGTTATGCATTAGGTTGGGATTTCAACTCTTGTTCCTTTGTACACTAAATTATACTTTTAGTTCAATCCACCTAGTTCAAAAGAATTATGAAGTGTTTTTGTTCTTTGGTTTCATCTTTTCTTATTTAGGCATTGACTGCCACCGGTGCCACCTTGTAATAAAATTAGTGGATGATGCTCCTGCATACAGGTAAGAACAACAGGTGTAGAATTGAGATTTTCTTGACATACTGAATGTTTTAAAGAAAGCTGTATGAGAACTCTGAACATCATGCAGCTTTTTTGTATGTATGTAATACTCTGATGTGCAATATACAACCAGAGTTGCATGGGAAAACTGTGTCACAATGAAATGCACTCAACTTGACCTTCCATCCATTGTGATGAATGAACTGGAAGCGATGTCATCCGTCATCTTTAACGTCTCCTTCTTGACTCATTATTTGATCAGGCTGCCAAAAATAAGGGAATTTTTGCACAAAATTGGATTAAAGATCGCAAAATATCAGTATTAACTTCTGAGATGGTAAATGAATTAAGCATGCAACATAATGAGTCAAAAGTTTATTTACCAGCAATATTCAAAGTTTATTTGTTTTTGTTAAAACTCCGTAATCCAAATAGATGGATGTTTTATGTGCAATGCAAATACATAAATCTATTTTTTATTTAAATTCCGGTGTTCTTAGGTGCAAAGGTCATGCAGTACAAATATCCTACCTTCCAAAATACTTTCTTTTTGGATAATACATCCAAATTAATTGTAATGTCAGTTATAAATGTATTTAATTCAATACCAAATGTAACTTAAAATAATTCAATCTAATTAGAAATCAACTATATTACCCAGTAACCAAAAAAAAAAAAAAAAAAAAAAAAAAAATAAAAAAAACAAAAAAAAAAAAAAAAAAAAAAAATATATATATATATATAATGTCATTTTACGCTTATTAGGACACTGATTTTAGCTTTGCAAAATTCAAAACAAACCTCTATAAAGATAATACATTTTGCATCAGGAGGGCTATTTTTATAATGCAAGTTCTTGCCTGCACAGTGCGTTCCAGTTCAGTTATCATGCTCCCTTAAAAGGTAGCTGTCCATGTAGGCAGTAGACAGCTTACTAGGTTTTGGAACAGAGCCTAAATCTCACTGTAAGTTGCTCCAGTTAGTGCTCTATATGGAAAGATGCAGCGCTGAACCTGTCTGATATACCTGGGCCAGGTAAAACAAAGAATTCATGCTCACGGTGATAAAACAGACTGCTGAAGTGCAGAGGAGACAGATTTGTAAACATTGACTGTGGGAGAGTGAAGGAATGGCAACTTGGCATGTTTATGGGGAACCCTCCGGGCAAAAACTGGTTGGATCAAGGCTGATTAAATGTTTGATGTAGCTTCAGTTTCAGCTGTCTTGAGCTTGGCAGTTTCATTTGGGTCCTCAGAGCCGTGATAATGAGTGATTGAGTTGGACCTGGACACCAGTATTCATCAGAACATGGGTCAAGCGTTAGTCTATATGCCAATTTATCTGCGCTCACATTGTGTGAAGTACAGACCAAAAATTAAGTAGTTGTTCACTGGTACTTACAGGTCATGCCAAGTTTGACATCAATGATGCCGAACGCCATTGTGACTTGTGACTTATTGTGTTGGTGCAAGTTTAAAAATGTGGCAGTGTAAATAAGCTATTCCTGCACCATTCCTGTATAGCTCAAAGAGTAGAGCATGGCACTAAAAGTGCCAACTCAAACCCAAAGTCATGGGTTTTATTCTCAAGAAATGCATGAACTGATAAAATGAATACTTTCAGTGCAATGTAAGTTGATTTGGATAAAAGTATCTGCCAAATGCATAAAGGTAGAGATACAGCAGAAGGCAAGATTTTAAGTCAATAAGGGGAAAACTCAATGTAAACACTGTGATTTATTCATGAAACCATATCAAATGGGTTGGATTTCCTTTTATCTTGGGTAGTTTTGTTTTGGTTTTTGAGGTCAATGCTGGCATCTGTCAATTGACAAGATTCAACTAAGATGCAGGTGAATTTGCAATAAAACTATAGAATTTAATTGAACTGGACCTTTAATGAACAAAGGTTTCTTTTGCATATTAATAAGAACTAATAAGGATTTAACCATTGCTTTTTCACAATCAAACCAGATTAGACCTATGATTTTTGGTTTTGCAACGCACCGGTAGAAAACCACATCACCTCTTGTGAGAAGAAGCGAGGTGAACTGAAACTTTTTGAACAGTTTTTTCTCTCTCTCACTCTCTTTTGAGACTCTTGACTTCTTGATTACTGGCAGCTTTTCATTTTTACAAGGTTTTTGGGGACAAACGCAGTACAACAATACCGTACAACATTTTACAGTTCATTCTTTTTTGCTGACCAGAAAAGTCTAACCTAATTTATCATCTCCGCAACATATGTTCCATTGGTTCATTAGTAGCAAACTAAGCTCCTAACTGTTTCATTAACATTGCGAGCTTGTGGAACTGTTCACTTTCCCACAGTCTCCGGCTACGCCTGTGCTGGCGTGAACTTTCTCTCAGGTAGCATGGGCCTCTGGAGGAACACATTGCATAATCCTTTCCCCATCGATGGAAAAAAAGAATGCCTGAAGTATGAGATGGAGGGACTAATTATTCTGCAATATCACACTGGAATCTGCACTGAAGCAGGGTCGGTGCGAACATGGCCTCGATTTCCCAGCAACTGAACAAGGTAGGATTCAGTGCGTCACTCAGGGGGTAAGCGCTCACTTTAGGAATATTTGCATTGTATGCATGTTTCTGAAAGAAGTCTCCTATGCTCACCACAGCCTTATGTTTTCTCTCATTTTAGTGTATTTGCTTATGTTTGTTTGTGTGAGTATTATTGCCAACATAAGTGTTCGTTTACATGCTGTTTCTCTTTTCTTTCAGAGCTGCTCTGTGTGCATTTCACTGTAAAGAGGTCAGGTACATCAAAAACGACATGTTATCACACTGTCTAGATACAGCCCAAAAAAAGCAAAGAAGCATTTCAACTATTTGTGGAGAGCTTTCAGAATGGAAGTGGAATAATACGACAGCCCGAGGGGAAAATAAGTGATCATGCTGGTATGTTTAGATTAGACAGAGAGGAAGCCATCATTGTCATTGTCAGATTTCTGTTTTTTATACTGCGCTGAGCTTTGACATTCAATCCTGTTCTAATCTGTTAGAATGACACCTAAACCACTGCTTCTATCTCTCTCAAAGCAGAGCATTTGCTCGATGGTGTGTTTATTATGTACGTTTGCGTAATATAAGCTTGCTTTTAGAGATATGTTTTTTTTTAAGTTCCTCTTTTATATCGTCACGTCTTAAAGGTGTCTGTGTAGGATGGTTGCGATGTGCGCCGCGTAGTTCATGAAGTGGTAAAGACCAAGCTGCCAGTTTTGAGAGAGGAGGCCAAGCTTTATTAATAAGAGACAAGGTGCGCTTCCCTTAACATGTGCCAACATGTGAGTGCATTACCTTCTCGGCTGGCTATGGCAGAGATGTGAGTTGCATTCCTCTGCCCACAAAAACCTTCAGCTCTGAGCACTGAGAGGCATTAGAGGCAAGGGCCAGTTTGGAAGGGATTTCATTTCAGGTTTTAATAGCTTGTCAGTGGTTTCTTAGAAGCTGCTTTGTGGTTAGTTTGTGGTTTCTCGGTGGTTACTCCTGTAACTTTATGAATCATGGGTTTTTGTTAACAGCCAAAGGACTGTTCCTCAATCTTGATCTACTGACGGCCAATTCAAGGGTTGCTTGATGGCCCAGGTGGGTGTGGAAGTATTTCAGGTCCTTTGACAGAACCAGCATCAGCCTACACTATTAAAAATGAAGGGTTTTTTTTGCAGTGATGCCATAAAAGAACCATTTTGGGTTCCTTAAGCTTTCAGTTACCAGTTTTAGTTACATAGTATGAAATAATCAGATAATAAATAATCTAGAAAGAACCTTTTGTGGAATGAAAAGATTCCCTGGATGTTAAATGGTCTTTATGGAACCATAAAGAACATTTGTTCTGTACTGATTCTTAACTACATCTTAAGTTTCTTTTTTATTCTTTGCCATGCTTTTTTTTTCATAATATTCTGGTGATTTTAATACGTCACTTGTCACTTATCACTTGTCAGCTAGCTAACACGTTTTGAATGATTTGTGACAGTCTTGCACTGTAAAAAAGAATTTTTCAAAGTTGGATTTTTTTTGAGTAGTTTTTAATAAAATACTATATCAGTCTTTCTACTTCAAAATTTCATGTTTAATGCAATGTGTTGCTGATTCTTTGTAATGTAAATCATACATTTTTTTCACTGTGGAAGCATCAAACAAATCAGTAATATTTTACTGTTTATTCAGTTTTTTTCAGTGAAAGTTTATAAATTCATAAATTACATCATAGGACGTTTTAAAAACGATTAAAAATTAGCTATAGGCTTTTATAGCAAACATAGTTAATGTATTTATCTAATTGTCTGTTTAGTATAATAATAGTAATAGTAATAATAATAATACATTTTTGTTGTTTAATTATTTTATTTATTTATATTTATTTTTTGTTTATTCATTTAATGAAAAAAAAAGTAAATTCAGCACTCAATTTTTTCTAACAAACAAAATATATCGTTAAACTAGTGACAATTTTGGCAGAACTGGCCCAATCAGACGTGCAGGAGAAAGAAAGAAAGAAAGAAAGTGTTTTCCCTTGATAAACTTAGATTCATGTAAAAGAACTAAACCTTCATGTTAAACCAGATCACTTTCTTAGTCATGTTATCCAGAAGTTGTGGTAGCTGTTTCTGTGTGGAAATACTAGAATATTGTCATGCTAATTGTCTATCTGTGTTTTAGAGAGTTGGTTTGATTCATTCACTTCTAAAATGAGCAGGACAAAAAGGCTATATATTTACCTACAAATACCTCTTTAGCTTTTGACATTCACCCTGCATTACTGCGAACAATTTTGTTTTAACATTTTCCAGATACATTAGCTAGCTTTTGAAACGGTGAAGCTAAAAAGGGGCATTTGTCACTCCTAAGCATCTCCTGAGTGAAATAAAGTGAGCGATATTTGTGCAGATTGCGGTCCCAGTGGTTTTTGAGGTTCTGCACTTCAAACACGCTCAGCCCCGGGTCACATGGGGCACCTGTAGCTCACTGAGAATGATGG